TGTCCTTTTTAAGAGAACCGAGTATACGGGAAAGACTGTACCCATAGCGCTGAATTCAATAGTTGAAGTAGAATGAGGAAGGTATCGGGTTGTCCGGAAAATAATGCAGGATTTTAAGTTTTCATTAAAAAAAATCTATATAAAATATTCTGTTTACGTTTACAGGATTACTCNAATTATTTTGATTAAAGAACATTGCTTTAAAGTAACTAGTTTCTTTTTTTTTGTTTAATACCAAAATCCTGCATTATTTTCCGGACAACCCAATAGATACTGGAGGTAAAACAAAAAGATAAACTTCGAAAGAATGTAACACTGAGCATTCCAATGGATTTGGGTCTTTTTCAACAATAACCAGAAAAAAAAATTCAGGGAAAAATTCTGCATTGGAAAAGTACTAACAAATGACACACTTCAATTCGTGCCGACATACCTAACGTCTAACAGCCTACTTCTCTATAGGATAAGTGATGTATCTATTATGAATGAGAGTATAAGGACAGGTCAGAAATTAACAACAGAAACGAATTGGTCTGAATTAATTAATGCATATTTAAGAATAAAAGTACGTGTAAACAAAAAACAACTGTTAAATTGATGGCTGCCATGTTTGTTACCTACGCCCTAACGGATAGCAAAGGGACTACATTTTCGACCTAACATCTAACATTGGCCCTGGCCTGTTAGATCGAACAATATTATTAACTAGCCGATTTTTACAAGTCTACGTTAAAATTTTTCTCGATCTAACAGGACCTAACAACCCTAACATGGTTAACACAAAGATCGTGAATACCCCTGATATTAGAATTATCAATTAATGGCAATAATCGTCGAACAAATATTTTTTCTAGAATGTTTGCAAGGATAGAAAGAAGGACTAATGGGTCGATAGGAATTTGGAAGATCGGATTATTTAGCTTATGTATCTCATCATTTTAAATATGAAGAACTTCCATTCCAATGGAAAATATGTGGTCCTGAGTATAGGCATGTGAAGTAAAGTAAGCCTCTTTGGTTCACATTTTGTAATATTTGTGTTGCAATTAGATCATAACTTAGAGCTTTTCGTGAAGGTAGTTGTTTAATAGTGTTCCGTATGTCTGATGGAGTAAATGCTTCAGGAGGAGTTGCAAGGGGACATTCATGTCGTGTTCATTGTTATGCCGATGGTCATGGTACAGAGTGAATATTGTCGAAAGATGTTCTGAAAACAATTTGGCTATGTCAGAATTGGATGTGGTCCAAGCGTTACTACTCCCAATGGGGGGAGGTATATCGCAGGATTTCACACGTACAGTACCACAAAGACTTGTCTGGTGTTCATTTTTTTACAGAAACATACAAGAAATCTTTTATATTGTAATTCTATCAAGAAATTTTTTTAAAAATGATGATCATTTAAAATTTTGAAATAAAAACTTTATTTAAAAATGGAGCGTACTTGGATCGATTACCTCCTCTACAGCACATATATCCGAACTTCACCCTCTACTATCTTTGCATCCTTTGTCGATCGAACAAGCATACAGTTGTGCTAGCCTCTCATCCCGATCCCGCAATTGCTTCGGAGAAGCTCCATGTTTTGAAAATAACCAAATCGAACAAACATTAGCGTTTAAAGCTCAATGAAAGCAAAAGCATCGAAATATCATTCGAAGCAAAACATCTCATACAATGTTCATCAATGTAACCACGGTCCAAAAACGGACCTTTACCAATACCTTCGGTTCCATCTAGACTCAAGTCTAACGAAGAGCCAACAGAAACGACAAAACGACAGACATTATACCAACGTTCTCTACAGTCTACTGTCACCCAAATCATTCAACGTAAAATGAACTAACAATCTACAAGACCATACTAAAATCAATCTGTAAAGACTAGAACTGTGGGGCACCGTTATACCCGTCAACATCGAAAGAATATAGACCTTGCAATCAAAAGACAATCATAGTCAATGCGCCTTGCTACATCTTCAGCAACAACCTTTGCAATAGCCTAAAATCCGTATTATTTAAAAAATAATTTCCAAAACATATTCCACTTTCCAAAATAAACTCTACTCTCACTCCAATTGAGTTGCTACTAAACTAGATTAATGGTTGTTAACTCCCCATACCACACATGATGTAATGTGTACATTCAACTCATAATATGTTCTAAATAAGGTTAATGATTGTAATAAATGTATAAAATTTAAAGAAAGTTTAAAAACAATTAAACATTCATAAATCCTCTTTAGCTGAGTTACAGCATAACATAGCTCATTCTAGCTTCATGTTTTATCATAAAGATATTAACAATGATTTAATTTTAGTAGGACTGTTTGTTGCTTTTCAGAATTTTCAGAAAAGTTTGTTCATCTCATGAATCCTTTCGTTCGCATTAAGGGGAAATGGAAACCAAACGATGCGATACTTTGATAAGAATACAATTTTGGTTGTTCAAACTTGTTTGACGTTCCTTTTCAGAAGCGTTTTAGAAAGATACATTTGTTATCGAAGGGGTGGGCACCCTTCTATTCGTTTCACATCGAATTAAGGGATGCCAAGCCGGTAAGTAGAAACACTGAAACAACGAACAACAGCAAATATTTGAATTAATCCCCGATTTACATGTCAATCGTGCAAACCCTCCCTGACAGCCGGGTGTTCGATTTAAACCTGGGAAGGTGCGTGCTCATCCGAGGACGGTGCGATTAGTATCTATTTGGAATCCCGGACGTGAAAAGGCCCGAGGATTAGGCGGATCGGAAATTATTCCCAAGGCGGAGTAGGATAATTAATTGTAGTTAAAGGGGGCGTAGCAGAACAGTTAATAGATTACAGTCGTAGTCATAGGCAGGGATGTAACAAGGGGGTCGAAATTGAATTCGGCGCGGACTGGTCGTGTTGCTCAAAAGGGTGCGTTTAACTTGTCAGGCGGTCGAGGCCCGTGTTCATAAATCCAAGACGCCCCTGATTAAAACCACAGTCCTGCGAGAGCCTTTATTTATCATTTTGGATGCCCCCGAGCCCTAGTTTCAATGATATATAACTGGCTTGCGTCCGGTTATCAGATTCGATAGCGGCCTTTTTTTTTCAAAATTGTACTCTCGTTTGAAGGAAATACATTACTAACAAAAAATTGACATTTTTTTGTTGACCGAATTTGGATTGGAAATTGGATAATTGTTTCATCAAAACCTTTGCTTGATTTATCTTAAAAGAAGGACTTTTCTTTTTTACTAAATTAATAGAGGTATTCACGATCTTTGTGTTAACCCTGTTAGGCCCTGTTAGATCGAGAAAAATGATGACGTAGACTTGTAAGAATCAGCCAGTATAACATTGCTCGATCTAACAGGCCAGGGCTAATGTTAGATGTTAGATCAAAAATGTAGTCATATTGCTATCCGTTAGGGCGTAGTAACCAACATGGCAGCCATGAATTTAACAGCTGCTTTCTTGTTTATATATATTTTTATTCTTAAATACGCACTAATTAAATCAGACCAATATATTTCTTTTGTTAATTTCTGACCTGTCCTTATACTCTCATTCATAATAGATACATCCCATATTCTATAAAATTGGTCAAGCGGACCACGAAATTAGTGAATTAATATCCTATAAAGTTGTGGGCAGTTAGAAGTTAGAATTAGTTAGGCTTGTCGGCACGAATTGAAGCGTATCATTTCTTAGTAATTTTCGAGAGCATAATTAACATTTTGAATTAAAGAATTGATTGATTTTCCTTTTTTATTAACTTCTAGCATATTACAATTTAACAAGAAGCAAAACGAAAACGAAAAACAAGAAGTTTTCAATGACTGTTATCGCTTAATTTTTGATTCTACCAATCGCCTCGCACAGCATTGAGGAAAAAATAACGTTTAACATGCTAAGAAACGAATAGGGCATTCTAGATCTTACTGGACATTTCTCTATTCGAGTTAACACGAGTGAACTTCGTAGAAACATTGTGAATACCCCTAATATGTTAAACTTTTCCAAAGATGAAGTATAGCAATGTTATTGCTTGTCATACCAAAAAACAAATTGAAATTTAATTGAAAGCTATAAAGTGTAAGCAATTTGTGTTTGTTCTTATTAAGTTGTAGATATGATTACCTAATAATTACTAATACAAATAGTAATCTTAATTTAATATGATAATAATATTTTTTAAAGTTTTTGTGATGGTGGCCCATCAAAATTAAAAGTTCCAGAATTTCAAACGAATAAGGAAACCTCCAAATACGATTCGAAGTAGATGGGTCAGCTGGAGAATTTAAGAAAGAGGGAAGTGATTGGAAGTCGCCATTTTGCTCGGGCTTTGAGTGGATCGTTGTTTAACTGTAATTAGTTATAATAAGTATAAAATATTTAAATTTTTGAAACAAAAGATTTTGGAAGGTGTTTGATCGACTATTTGAAAATATTCAATGTGTAAATATTAAGAACGATTTTATTTTGAGTATTTAATTTGAAAAGGCTCAAAAGTTTACTTGAGATTTTACCTCACATCAAATTGTAAATTTTTTTTACTTTTTATTTTATATCTTTAATTATTTTCATGAAACATTTGGAATCAAATTTTAATTTTAACAATAAATTAAATTTTATTTTTGTGGTTATTTTATTTTTTATTTTTTCTCTCATTCTTATAAAAATTTTAATAACGTCACAATTTTATTAAAATGCTGGTAGCCCATATTTTTATAATTTATTTAATATTATAATTTAAATTATGTAATATGTTATTTTTAAGTCTAATTTCAGATGAGAAAGGGGATTTTGCAATTGGCGAAAAGCGATTTCAAGCAGGGTCTTCCGATTTGCTAAGCTTTCGTTACGTCGAATCGATATAACTGTAATAGTCACTAATAAAGCATTTTTGGTCAGTTTTCGGAACGGAACGAGGGTGGTACACTTGTGCAATCCGCTCGTCGCATCGTTGCTTCCGAAGAGTATATATTCCACCGGTCTCAAAACCGGTGACAGTACTCGACCACCATGCAAACGTGGACGTTGTTGTTATTTCTTGTTAGCTTCTCGTCCGGGGAAAGTGAAATCGAAAAGAAACAAGAGAAAAGAACGGCAGGAGGGTTTGGCGACTTTGGAGGATTCGGAGAAAACTACGGTGGCTTTGGCAGTCATTTCGGCGGCTACGGAGGCTTCGGAGGTCTAGGAGGCTTCGGACATGTTAAAAATTTCCATTTGACTAATGAAATACCGGTACCGTATCCTGTGCCCGTTGATAGGAAAGTGCCTTATCCGGTTCAAGTGCCTGTAAACCGGCCGGTTCCAGTGCACGTGCCTCAGCCTTATCCGGTTCATATCGATAGACCTGTACCGTACCCTGTGAAAGTGCCAGTGCCGCAGCCTTACCCCGTTGCAAAACCTGTGCCAGTTCCGGTAAAAGTCCCTGTGGACAGACCGGTCCCTATACACGTACCTAGGCCAGTGCCGGTTTACATAGAAAGACCAGTGCCTTACCCAGTTGAGAAACACATCCCGTATCCGGTCAAAGTCCCGTACGACGTTCCCAGGCCTTACCCTGTGCAAGTCCCGGTGGATCGCCCAGTGCCAGTACCTGTAGAAAAGCCCGTACCCGTTCCTGTGAAAGTTCCCGTCGACAGACCTTACCCGGTGCAAGTCCCGAGACCGTACCCGGTACATGTCGAGAAGCCGGTCCCGTTCCCGGTCGACCGGCCGTACCCTGTACCAGTTAAATTCCCGGTTCCAGTCAAAGACCCTGTTCCAGTCGAAGTGCCGAAGCCTGTGCCCGTGCCGACACCGGTCTTTCCTTCTGCGCCTGCCAATTTCGGAGGATCCTTCGGACACTTTGGCCCGTTGGGACACATTGGTGGATACGAAAACATCGGTGGATTTGGTCACGGTTACGCTGCTGGATTTGGCAATACCTTTGAACATAAGTTGTAAATTCTTTCATGAACTATTTTATTTATTTTTTTATACTTTAAAAGTTTATTAATAAAATAATTTATATGGATTATTAATCATACTTTCTCTATCCTTGAAAACTATCACAAATATAATTTTAATATTTTTCTTTTTCAAGTGTACCAGTATCATCATTATACTATTGTTTTAAAATTTAAAAAGTTAATTTTGAATTGCGCTAAACTAGTCAATTTTACTTTAAAACAAAGTTAAGAAAGGTGATTTTTATTTAACTTCGTTTTAACATATTAATTTAAAAATCAGTGTAAAAAATAACCTTTTTTAAATTGTTATATACTGGCACAGTTTAATTAAGAGAGAAGCCGTTCAGTGCAATAAACAATATTTAAATTAGATTTATATCTTTTTAAAAATAATTATTTAGAAATCGTGAGATGCGGTCTGGTGTGGTGTAGGTTTCAGAAAGACATTTTCTTTATCGTGCCAACGTTTCGATCTTTACAGAGATCATCTTCAGGCCGCATATTGTGGGCACTCTCAACACGACACGCAAGAATGGCACAATTACACAGAAGACAAACGCTTTGAGCACTGAAGATGATCTCAATAAAGATCGAAACGTTGGCACGATAAAGAAAATGGTTTTCTGAAACTACATCACACCAGACTGCATCTCACGATATCTGAATAATTATCGACTAACCGTCACTAATCACCACACACTTTTTAAAAATATAAATAATAGGTAAGGTAGACAACAGTATAAAGACGATTATAATACATAAAACCAAGCACCAGCGACTTTTAAATCACAACTAGCTAATAATGACAGCTTTTCCTTTTCTTTAGCCTTGGTGAAAGCGAAATTAAACATCGCAGGTGAAGTACTGTCGCGGTTCAACGAAAGTGGTAATAAATGCTTTTTATTTCTAAGTCTCTACCAAAACGTCTCTCTCTCTCTCTCTCTCTCTCTCTCTCTCTCCCGCTCTAGTTTCAACACTGTTAAGAAATAAGCTTAGTTGCAAAACCCCACAGGATTCCAAAGGTTATATCGCATATCATGCTGTGCCATCAAAAAGCTGAACGTTACAGAAAAAACGTGAAAGCATTAAAAAAAGAAGTTAAACCACTTTTTTAAATTAAGCATCATGAATAGCGCGTTTGCGTTGCGGCAAACATTACTGATATAGAGATAATGTTTCCGCTATTTCAAGGTCAACATTATATTTACCGTCCATCAAGTAACGTTAACGCTGTTTGGAGACGTTTTCCTAACGGATTTTCGCGAAACGCTAAGTTCCTGGGGAGTTTGTAGTAGGCAGCTTGTACACAAAAACACCGTTCAAAGATGTATTAAGGATTTCCTCTTGATTGCTGACCATGTTTAGCAAATGCTGTAGATCTGATAGTCGTAGAACTTCTTACAAAGTAAACGTTATTTGCCGGGCGATTCTGGGCAAGTTGGGTTTAAATGAAAATGAGGAAGGAAAGTATGCAAAGCTCTTAGGAAAAGAAAGCTTTTAGCTTATCTAAGCAATTTTAGGAAATGCCAGCAGTTGTGTATTTAGTGAAGGAAAAACGCATAAGTGGGTTGTATTTGTAGCTAAATATTGTAGAAACAACATTTTCTTGTGAAATATTTAGATGTTATAAAACAGCTAAATATTTTAACGCCTGTAATATACATTCTAGGAGTCGGGATTTGTAAAACTTGTTCGATTTGGAAAATGTTAACTACAAGCTAGACAATCTTATATGCTTCTACATACAGAATATTTTTATTTATTGGAAAAAAAGCTCCGAAATTACTTTGTTACTTAATGTGAGTAGGAACTATCTTTCTTTTATTGGACAATAGCTCCGACAAAAAATTACTTTGTTACTTACTGTGAGTAGGAACTATCTTTCTTTTATTGGACAATAGCTCCGACAAAAAAATTACTTTGTTACTTACTGTGAGTAGGAACTATCTTTTTTTTACTGGATAAAAGCTCCGATAAAAAATTGCTTTGTTACTTACTGTGAGTAGGAACTATATTTTTTTATTGGACAATAGATCCGACAAAAACATTACTTCTTACTGTGAGTAGGAACTATCTTTTTTTTATTGGATAAAAGCTCCGACAAAAAAATTACTTTGTACTTACTGTGAGTAGGAACTATATTTTTTTATTGGACAAAAGCTCCGACAAAAAACTTACTTTGTTACTTACTGTGAGTAGGAACTATCTTTTAAAAAAAAAAAGGATTAAAAAATTACTTTGTTTATTATACCGTCACGCGTTAACAAACACACCAAATAACTTAAGATGCTATTTAAGATGTCGTTCCGTCAAATGTGCGAATGGATTCCATTTAGCGTTACCGTTTTCGTTAACGATATGCATAATCTCTATCTAATGGTGGTAACAAGTTATGTTTTATGCAAATGTTTTGCAATAAAATAAAACCATGAAAAAATATACAATTAGAAAATAATCTAAATAACAATAGGTGGTAAAGCCTTTGTACAAAATTAGTTAATAATTAATTATTTTTAAAGTAAATTTAATGACATTAATAAAGAAGGGTAAAATAATTTTTAATTTTTCCCAGTTAATTGGAAACTTATAGTTAAGCGAGCGATGATTATCTTAACATTACATAAAATATATTTTCACATGCCTACATGAAGTGAAATTACATAATCACCTTTGGTTATTATTACCATAAATTATTAGAGATAGCTGCACAATTTAAAAAAAAAAGAAGATAATTAAGTCAATTCGTATTCTTTTTTTATAATCTGAGTTGAAAGTATGACGACCGAGTACCGACAATAAATTAATTCGTTTCGTGTATATTCATTATGCGTGAAATTTAGACTCTGCGGTTGATTTAATAGACTATTAAATGAAGTATGACCGGTTATACAAAATACATCTGAAATAAAAATTCCACAAGAAGTAGCTGATCTCATCTTATAATTGAGTATCCGCTAAACCTTCAACTAAGGAGCTAAGTGGGCCAGACATTAGGAAATACTTTCGCAATAAAATCCGATAAAAAAGTAGATATATACGTCGTGAGTCTGAGAGAGGGTCAGTTGCTTTTACATTCTTCTCCTATGAAGTTAATACTATCTATAGTGCTTGTCTTCCAAATCGTCTCTGCTGAAGAGGCGACACAGAAAGATGTGAAAGAAGTCAAGAAACAAGAAAAGCGAGGTCTCTTTTCTAGTTTGGGATACGGCTATGGAGCGGATGTTTATAGTCACGGCCTGCACAACGACCATCGCGTGAAGAAGCTCACCGTGATTAAAAAGGTACCAGTGCCCTACCCAGTGCAAGTTGAAAAGAAAGTCCCATATCCAGTCCACGTACCTGTTCATAGACCTGTACCCGTCCATGTGCCTCAGCCGTATCCCGTCGCCGTGGTAAAAGAAGTCCCTTATCCAGTCAAAGTACCAGTACCACAACCTTACCCCGTTGAAAAAATAGTCCACGTCCCTGTTAAAGTTCCCGTAGACAATCCAGTGCCCTATCCAGTAGTAAAGCCCGTCCCTTACTACGTGGAGAAAAAAGTCGCAGTGCCGGTAGTTAAGCACGTACACGTTCCGGTCAAAGTGCCAGTGGATGTACCCAGGCCTTACCCGGTTCACGTGCCCGTAGAAAAGAAGGTGCCGTACTACGTCGAGAAACCGTATCCGGTTGAGGTCAAGGTTCCCGTCGACAAGCCGTATCCTGTCGAAGTACCTAAACCATATCCGGTTTTTGTTAAAAAACCGTACCCGGTCGTGGTGGAGAGGCCGGTACCGTACCACGTCAAAGTGCCGGAATACGTAAAAGTGCCAGTTCCTGTAGTCGTCGAAAAGTCAGTGGAACTACCAATATTTGTCAAACATCACCACTGACATCAATTCGCCAACGGGTGCCACAAAGCATTTTCATACTTTTAAGACTACTCTTATATTGTAAATCATTTGTAAAATAAATTTGTATATACATTTTGTAATTAATCGAATTCTGTTAAAACTTCTTGCAAAATAAAAATTATACTGTTACTTTACTTCAACAGAATGTTAGTAACTTCCTTGTAATAACAGAAGTTTAATTTATTTTCTGTTTTTCAATAGAGTTTAAATTTAAAAAATTTGTTTATCATGCTTTGGGTAAAACTATGCGAAATTTTTAAGAAAATAATATTTATGTATTAATATTAATGTTAAAATAAAAAAAGTAAACTAAGAGAAAAATTTTCTATTTATAGTGTGCAATTTCAATTTATTACAAGTAATAAATACAGAAATCTATAAAACTAAACAAATGAAAGCAATTCCTATGTAAAAAAAGAAAAATGTATGATGTATTATGAATAGAATGAAATTAAAACTATTGATTAGACAGTGTAGGGTAAAGCACATGGAGCAACAGGAAAAAAACTGTGCAGATAGAAATGATAAATGGTAGAATGAGTGTGTTATTTATTCTTATTAAAAATATAGTTCCTACTCACAGATAGTTGTTTTCAAGGTCTGGATTTCAAGCTAATAGCACATCATCAGATTATAGGAGTGAAGCGTGTCATTTGTTAGTACTTTTCGAGTGCATAGATAGCATTTTGAATGAAAGGGTTGGTTAATTTTCCTTTTTTATTAACTTCTAGCGTCTTACAAGTTAACTCAAAACAAAACACGAACAAACAACAACAAACCGTCAAGGACTGCTATAGCTTTATCGCGGAAAAATTAACGTTTAATGCGAAGAAAAAAAAGGGGGCGTTCACGATCTTACTGGACATTTCTCTAATAGAGTTACCTCTTACAAACATCGTGAATACCCCTATAATTCTCCATTACAGAATGGACCCAAAAAAGGCAAAGGTAGAAATGGATAAACTTTACAATTACTCTGTAAGCTTATTAAAAAACAACCCTCACCAACACTGGCAAACTACAGCTACAGTTAGAGAGGGTCGAAACTAAAAGGAAAGATAGGACTATTTATGGGGTTACTATATCGGATAACACATTTGGACATGGATTTATTTAATGATCATCCCATTTGTAGGTTTTGCAATGAGGAGCAGAAAAACCAATGTGATATGGGTCATATTCGAATGCGAAGCAACCGCTCAATGGAGACGTAACGAGGGTACAAACACAAACCAGGGAAAGGAATTGTAGTAAAGTCAGACTACCTAATATTTCTTAAAAAGATAGAGCGGATTGCATTGATCTAAGGAATTAAGAATATACAATAAGTCAGAAAGCTGCAGTGCTTGAAGAACAATAACCCATACTTTCTATTCCCACCAGCATCATCATCAAGTAATTGTTGCCTTGTAAATTAGAATTATTACATTCCAATTACATTGCTGTGCTATGTAATGGCAGAATTACCATTAAAATAATTGTGGAAAAATGTTGTAATGTGTGAGTGATAAACCCGTAGCTCAGGAAAAATAAGCTATAAATAATCTTAATGTTTAATAAGGGGTATGCCAGTTATAAAAATAATTTGTTTCGTATCCTATCTTCAAGCTTAAACTTTTCTAAATTCACGGGCATGTGGATCTATAAACCGACAAAAGAGAAAAATGTATATCAAATTAAAATTTTCATATTATTAACTATTAATTTAGAAATCGTGAGATGCGGTCTGGTGTGATGTACGTTATAGAAAAACGTTTTCTTTATCGTGCCAACGTTTCGATCTTTATTGTGATCATCTTCAGGGCCTGGGATTTACAAACATTGTTTACATAAAACAATTACATTTTGGATGTGGAAAAGTGATTTTATACAATGCAAAATATATTTTTTATATATTCAATCAAAGTATTTCTACTCACACAAAATGTTTGTCTTCTGTGTAATTGTGCCATTCTTGCGTGTCATGTAGAGAGTGCCAGTGAGATTTTGCTATTTTGTGTTTATATACGTTGGATTTTGAAGGGGTGGGTATGGATGTCGGTATAGAAAAGACATTTTTGTATAAGGCGTCGGCTTCTTTGAGGTGAAAATAAGAACACTTTGAGTGAGTAGAAATACTTTGATTTAATATAAAAAATATATTTTGCATTGTATAAATTCACTTTTCCGCATCCAAAATGTAATTGTTGTATGTAAACAATGTTTGTAACTCCCAGGCACTGAAGATGATCTCAATAAAGATCGAAACGTTGGCACGATAAAGAAAAATTTTTCTTAAACCTACATCACACCAGACCGCATCTCACGATTTCTAAATAAATATCGATTAACGGTCACTTATCACCACACATTAACTATTAATTATATGCATGTAACTCGACATTTCTTCAACTGGCAGTGCAAACTTCGGCTATCGCAACTCCCACAGATTTGAACAATAAATCATTTATATGTATGCGTATTACTACTGATCAAGGCTTACGGGATTATGTCGACATTCCCCTATACGATAAAGGTAAGTACTTAATTGAACAAGGAATTTCGATAATTTTTAAAGTTTGCCAATGGTACAGCGAGTATATTTAAAAAATCGTTGTATTGACTAGCAATATTTTGTAAGAGCATTATTTATAATAATGAAGTTGCGATACAAATTTTCGAAGCATCTGGTCTTTAGCAACACTAAACTTGTCACCTGCTCCCTCTGGGAGTTGCAGCGTTACAGCTCCCCTTGAGGGGCGTAGGCCCTCACTCCCCCTTTAGTTCGTAGCTATAGTAAGTAGACGGTCTGAAGTACCTCGGCCTATATTTGGTAGTGTTGATGAGGGAGTTAAGGGTGCGGTAAAAGGCTCTGTCTTTAACGTACTGCTTCTCGATTTCTCTTCCATCGTAGATGGGATCCTATTTAAAGAACTGGATCGATCCTGCAAGGACGCTTTGACCACTGGGTTGGTCGTGTCTAAAAATACTGGTATCATTTTTTTTTTCAGAAATTATTTTCAGTTATTCACTTGTGAAAGATTTTCAAGGCTAGTATTCGAAATGGGGTGTTGTGGTGTTAAATATGGTCTCTTCGATATGGCATGTACTGAGGTTGGTTTTACTCAACATAAAATCGAGTCAGAGATTCGCACTCTCTTCGTATATGTATTGGCAAAATTTAGGCAGCACCGCTTTTTGCCGTGGACGCTACGAGGTTACTTTTCACGACTGCTAGTAAACCTAGGAACATATATGATATTTCCGATGATATGGTCTATGCTGTATTTTAGTTCGGATAATACAAAAAATATTACTATCGAAAGTCTGTCATTGGTTTTTGGTAGGACCTCGGGCAGCTGTGAAGCAAGTCGTCTGTCCAGTGAGCCATGCGATGATTGCAAGTGTGACCTGAGGATTCTGATGGCTGCTTGCAACATCGGGGAATGAGAACTCTTCCACGAGTCTGATTGGAGCCGGTTGAATTTCTGTCTAATAAATGGGTGTTGCAGATTGAACTGCTGTTTGGAAGTCGAAAACATTATCGAAGTAGTGGTAACACCTGGTAGAAACTTAAGTAACCACATAACCTTCTAAGAATTTGCGCGCCCGTGTTCTAAATGGAGTAATCGTCCAGGACGACTAGTTGCGTTAGGCTATGGTGTGCATGTCAATATATAATGGTATTCATGAGACATTGTTCATGATCAAAGTAATAATAACGGGGTAACATAAATGTTCCAAGCTTCAGCCGCTGTTACAATGGGAATGGATTCGTGGTGGTTCGTGGTGAATCCCCTGGCGGGTACTTAGAGAAGAGGCTGTCTTCTATCTGTGACCTTTGCACGAAACTTGCGCATGAGCATCGTTATACACCCGGCCTCACGTGGTATGGCCATTCGGACGGCAGCGTTTAAGCGTTGAGCGCTATGATTATGCTGAACAGTCCCTCGAATACGTGAGTAGTGACGGATGGAAATGAGTAGTGAATCGGTTGCTCCTATTCGAGTATACATTGCACGTAGGTGTAGGCTGAGCTCGATTGGATGCTTTAAACGTAGGCGGTCCCCTCTAGAGGGTGGTTAGCAAAATTCCACTTGAAACGAAACCGCGGCCGGAGCGAATCCGGTAGTTTCTACGCTAAAGAAGCCCTAAAATTCTGGGAAATATTCAGGGGCCTTCTCATTCTAGGGAGTGCGCAGGAGACCGGGCTGATATTTCGGCTTAGGTAACCATGCGCGCGACATACGGTCTGATGCTTAATGCGGGCCAGACCACTCGAAATGGACAAGCGGGGAGCAAGTTTGTATTGGCACTTCGGGCTGAGCTGCGTCTGCACCAATGCTGCCGCAGTAACACAATCCTGTCGTATGCGGAGGTGCGTCAGTTCTCATCTTGAGAATCAAAACGTCCGATAAGGCCGAATAAGCTAGGTGCGGACGTTAAAGATCCTTATTGTCCTTTTTAGGATGACCGAGTATGCGGGAACCTCATGATCCTGTGACCACTCCCAACCCTTGACTACAAGGGGGGAGGTGTCCGGGCGCAAAATATTGGTGTAGCCCTAAGGGCTTGGCAACCTCTCTAAAGCACAAGCTGTACTTGTGTCGGCTTCGATTTGGCATGGGGCGCGAGTGCCAACACCCTTCCGTCGTATGCGGAGGTGCCTCAGCTCTCATCTTGAGAATCAAAACGTCCGATAAGGCCGAATAGGGTAGGTGCGGACGTTAAAGATCCTCTTTATCCTTTTTAAGAGAACCGACTATACGGGAAAGACTGTACCCATAGCGCTGAATTCAATAGTTGAAGTAGAATGAGGTAGGTAGATACTGGATGTAAACAATAACCAGAAAAAAAAATTCAGGGAAAAATTCTGCATTCTATGCATTCGAAAAGTACTAACAAATGACACACTTCAATTCGTGCCGACATACCTAACGTCTAACATCCTACTACTTTATAGGATATGGGATGAATCTATTATGAATGAGATTATAAGGACAGTTCAGAAATTAACAAAAGAAGTGTGTTGGTCTTATTTAATTAATGCGTATTTAAGAATAAAAATACTTGTAAACAAAAAACGGCTGTTAAATTCATTGATGCCATATTGGTTACCTACGCTCTAACGGATAGCAATGTGACTACACCTTCGACTTAACATCTAATATTGGCCATGGGCTGCAGAT